CCGCCCGCCGGGAGACACTGAGCGGAGCAGTGGCTTTCACAACCGCTATGAGACTCTTCTGCTTTCCTTCTGCCTGAATACAGAGCCTGTGTAACAACAAAAAAGGATTTTGTCCCTAACTTCTTTTTGTTTTTCTCCTTATCTTGTAGCATCTCTTCCCAGTACTCCTCTGCTATGTCCTCACACTCGGGCAGAGATGGTAAGAACCTATCTTGCTACACACATTTATAACAAACAGCTTTGAGACCTGCTTTTAGAGCAGCTGCCAAACTGATGGAATGAAAATCACTCCTCAGGCATGCTGTGCCGCCTCGCTGGCTGTATCAGAGTGACAGCAGTCAGGAGAGCTGACATTCCTGCACTGTGGAGAGCCGTGCATGCACATTTACTAAAAGATGCTTGGCAGAAATACGCCAAGGTGGGGAAAGAAACAACAAGAAAAAACCTGTATCAGCTGGGCTCCACGGTGCGACTGTGTGTGTGTGTTCCCAGGTTTGAGACGGAGCAGGCTCTGCGCCTGAGCGTGGAGGCCGACATCAATGGCCTGCGCAGAGTCCTGGATGAGCTCACCCTGGCCAGAGCTGACCTGGAGATGCAGATTGAGAACCTGAAGGAGGAGCTGGCCTACCTCAAGAAGAACCACGAGGAGGTGAGCACAGAGGCAGGCTCAAACTGGGACCTACAAAATGTACCTTGTGCACAATGGAAAGTGGTCAGGTCAAATGTGCAGGAGTGTCTCTGCAATTAGGGCTGTCAGGAGACACTCGAGTGGGTAAGGGGGAGGGAAACAATCCCTTCAGACAGAAACTCCAGGAGAAGGTCTGTGGGGTTGGTGTGCTGGGTGCAAATAAGAAATTTGTCATGATGGGAATACACCGATTTTACTATGACAGGTATGTGTCTCTTTTCTGCCAGGAAATGAATGCCCTGCGCGGGCAGGTGGGTGGAGAGATCAGCGTGGAGATGGATGCTGCTCCTGGAATTGACCTCACCAAGATCCTGGCTGACATGAGGGAGCAGTACGAGAGCCTGGCGGACAAGAACCGCAGGGACGCCGAGCAGTGGTTCTTCAGCAAGGTGAGCTGGCTCGCTGGCAGCGCAGCGGGGCACGTGGGACCCGAGGCTGTGCCCGCTCGATGGTGCTGTAACGGCACGGTTTTGCCTTGTTGCAGACGGAAGAGCTGAACCGGGAGGTGGCCATCAACACGGAGCAGCTTCAGAGCGGCAAGACGGAGATCACAGAGCTACGACGCACCATCCAGAGCCTGGAGATTGACCTGCAGTCCCAGCTCAGCACGGTATGAGGGGCCGGCTGCCTGTGGGGAGGGGGCACGCAGGAGCGTGGGCCAGGGGACGCATGGGTGCTCCCATCCCTTCCACCCTCCGTCCCTGCCCTGAGCCCATGCCTCTCCTCTGCATGCAGAAAGCGGCGTTGGAGGGCACCTTGGCCGACACAGAAGCCCGTTACGGCACCCAGCTGGCCCAGCTCCAGGGGCTGATCACCAGCGTGGAGGAGCAGCTGGCCGAGCTGCGGTGCGACATGGAGCGCCAGAACCACGAGTACAGGGTCCTCCTGGACGTCAAATGCCGCCTGGAGCAGGAGATCGCCACGTACCGCCGGCTCCTGGAGGGCGAGGATGCCCAGTAAGTAGAGGGGCTTCGCTTGGGAGGGCACATCGGGAAGAGACGGGTAATAGACACAAAATATGCTGCCTGGGGATTCAGTCCAATTGCAGCTTTCATGGTTCATCTTTATGTTCATACCCGACACGGATGCCCTGTGGCTCTGTCCCTCGTGTCTGTCTGCAGTGAGATGCTGTAACAGGCTCCTTTCACTGCTGGAAGGGGCAGTGGCCCCTCTGCCCTCCAGGAGACACTGAGCGGAGCAGTGGCTTTCACAACCGCTATGAGACTCTTCTGCTTTCCTTCTGCCTGAATACAGAGCCTGTGTAACAACAAAAAAGGATTTTGTCCCTAACTTCTTTTTGTTTTTCTCCTTATCTTGTAGCATCTCTTCCCAGTACTCCTCTGCTATGTCCTCACACTCGGGCAGAGATGGTAAGAACCTATCTTGCTACACACATTTATAACAAACAGCTTTGAGACCTGCTTTTAGAGCAGCTGCCAAACTGATGGAATGAAAATCACTCCTCAGGCATGCTGTGCCGCCTCGCTGGCTGTATCAGAGTGACAGCAGTCAAGAGAGCTTGTGTGCATCTTACAACTGCTAAACACAGGAAAAAGCTGTCAGGAAGGGAAATACCTTGCACTCCTTTACCACAGGAATGATTTGCCCTAAATGGGCTTTGTGATTGAGCAGCCAGTGTTCTGGCTTTACACAGACCTTAAAAATCAAGCAACAGCATACATTCAGGGAGTGTGCCTTTTGCCTTCTTGAGCTTTCCCATCAGCCTGGCTCTTCTGTCTTCCTAGCCAACGTAGGGCTCTTTAAAACAGCATTTTCCAGTACCTCGTGAAATTTCTCACATCTTCCTGAAGAACATGCAACATCTGATAATGTGTTAAGAAATTTCCTTCCTTCCTGCCCCCTGAATAATTGTCCTCTGCTTTCCTTTTGCAGTCATGACATCTTCCCGTCAGGTCCGCACGATCGTTGAGGAGGTGCAGGATGGGAAGGTGGTCTCCTCCCGGGAGCAGGTTGCGCTCACCACTCGCTAGGAGGGCAAGCAGCTCTGGACCCTTGACCCCAGGCTCCAGAGAGCAGCGAGCTGAACCAAACGTTGTCTGAGGCCGTATGTGGTGGGGTTGTGTTACAGAAAGCAGTCAGCTTCATTCATCTGCTCCTCCTTCCTGTTCTACCCTAATTTCACGTGGGTGACATCATGCACTCTGTACACATTTAATAAAGCTTTTTTCCTCATTCATGCAGCTGCAGACTTGTCTGTCACTGATACATGATCTTTCAAAGCCTCAGGGTTGTGTGTTCGTGCCAGGGAAAGTCCTAAGAAACCACAAGAAGAAGCCAGTGAGAAGAGGGGAATGGAGGGATATGGGTTCTACTTGGAGCAAAAATAATTTGAGACAGCTTTTTCTACTGAACTCATTGCTCGTAAATACATGGGACTGACTGAGACATAAACCAGATAAGTTTGATATAAAATGAAGGCAATGATGGAATGATGATGCTTGAGGCCAATGTGCCACACGACTGATACTTAAAAGCCCACAAAATAAAGCTCAGCTAAATGGGCTTTGTGATTGAGCAGAATCTCTAACTCTTGGTATCATGAAGAATCACTTTCTCCTAAGTTGAACTTAAATGACTTCAGCAAGACTACTACTGTCATGTGTACCATTCCGAGACACGAGCACAACATCAGACTGGTTGGCAAATCTTATACATACATGCCTTCTGTCTTATTTGACTGTCTTTAAATCACACTGTTAGACACATTGTCCAAAAACTTTATACAGGTTTTTTCATGCTGCCCGAGGGCTGCACTTAACAGGTTCTAAAGTAACCATTGCTTAATCCGCAGAGGGATGAGTAGCAATAACTTTTTATCACTACGGCATCTAGAAGATCCCTGCTGAAATCCTTCTTGAAACACACGAGCTAGTTATCGTATGTCAACAACGTCTGCAGGCAAGCTGCCATTCAGGATGAGGTGATGCAGCTTGTGCACTGGCAGCCAGGTACCAGATCCGCCTTTGCCCACTCACTTCCTGGAGAGTGACAGAGGAACCAAAGGATGCTGCGCTGGTCGCACATCCACTGAGCATGTCTTGAGGGCTAGACAGCAGAGGAAATCATTTTAGATCCAAAAGCCTGATGGAATCACTTAGATCCAACTTCATGCTTTCTAGCCAGGGGTACTTGGGACCCCTGTCCAGTCTTGGACCATGGCCTCATGTTCATCACCTACCTCAAGAAGACGGATTTGGGCCGTAGACAAAAGGAAAAGGTAATAGTTTGCAGTAAATGAGCTTCCCTTTGCTTATAATGATGTACAAGGGGCTTCGGCGGCTGAAGTTAAGCACGCTTGCCTCTTGGATTATTATTGATGATTCATTCTCCCTCAGCCTCCACAAAGGCATTACAGTTCTTATTGGACAATTACAAAGGCGCGCTCCCTGGCCTGAACAAACTCTTGAAAAGAGTTGATGATATCACGCTGGGCATGAGAAGACAAGCAAAGGAGAGGGAAGGTCATGGAAGAAGTGGGGAACCTGCCAGGTCTTTCCAGAAAAGGGAGTGTGAAGAGATGTTATCATGCTGTATTACTGTTTAGCAATTACAGAAGAGGGTAGGAAATGAAACACAGATCGGAGTGCGAGTTCATTGACTGTCTCATGCTTTTCTCTTTGCTGGAATAACAGACCTTCCTTGCAGAAATATGAAGTCTTCCAACCCAAGTGAGCTAGAGCCATCTCGAAAATAAAAACTAGATCAAGCATTACGTACTTCAGCATCAAGCTGTCTTAGACTTTATGGCAATGGGCAAGGGTGCAGGCTGGAAATTCTGAATGAACTGCAAATGTGCTGGTTTTTTTGCCATCAGAAGAGAGTTGTTATATTTCAGTTGTAAATGGCAGCTTTTTAACTCTAGAGCCATCTGCAGAATGCCCCAACTGTATGAATACAGAAAGGCTTTCTGAAAACCACAAACATGGATTAAATATAAGTAGGAGACTAAGAGAAGATGTCAGTCCAAGAGTTTCTGGCTCTGTTGGCAGCACAGTAAGGCATGGCCACATCTGCAGCCAAAAGGACACAAGGGAGAGATTTATCAAGCAGCATATCTTTGATATCTTTGACCCAGTGCTAAGATATCCGTTTACATCTGTCAGCGGGAACAGCCTGAAATGAATACCTGAAAAGAGCTGGGAGAATAGCTGGGAGAGCTGATGGAAAGCTCAGGTTTGTAATCAGTTGATTCAGTTCCACTGGGAGGATCTTATCAGGGGTTTCCCTTATTCACCAACATATATTTGCATCAGTGAAAAAGGCTTAAATTCTGCATATGGCTCCTCATAACCCTATGATCACAAACAAGAAAGAAGTCCAAGCTCAGCACAAGTAATCACTGTTTTACATTACAGTGCTCTGAAGAAGGAAAATACCACATAACTATTAGGCAATTTATTTTTTATTATTACTCTTCGCTACACACAGTTTGTATCTGTGAAACACGGACAAATTACCACATCCAAGAGATGGAGAAACACTGTTTTTGGAAAGCATTTTTCAAATTTTCTGCAAAATGCAAGCACAACAAGAAAAGCCTTGTTAGGATTCAGCAAGGAAATTATAGAAGCAAGTCCTCAGTGAATAATGGTGAAACTTTAATGGACAAGAAAACAAAAAAGGAAAACCAAGAACGTCCTTGAAAGGTATTTCATCAGCTGAGACACAGGCAGAAATATGTAGGATGTGCCAGTGTCAAACTGAGTATATAATAGCAAGAATACTTACAATGAATAATGCTTAAAATGAGTATCATGTTCCCGATCTTTAAAGCTCCAAGTTCGCATCAGACAGTTGTTTTTACAATGGCCTTGAGAAGGAGGATTGCTGTTATTACTGTTTCCATCCTACAAAGCATGAAATTGAGACTCAGCAAAGCTGAACAATTTGCCTAGAGTGATTTGCAAAGCTGGGATCAGAACCTTCGAGTGTCTGGTGTCATCAGCGAGATGGAGATGTTTCAGTACAGCCAATAACACGCAGACAAAAACCGTAATGACAATTACATCAATAGCTAGGTAAGAAAATACTCTGTTAGTAGCAAACAGAAGAATTTTCTGTAGGTGAAACTCTGAAATTTAGCCGACAATGAGCAGAGTCTAGGGCTGCTTGTAGTTCTCACTGCTGTATCAGGGCCTCCTGATAAGGCTCTCCAAGCCAGAGGCCAGCCCTGCACAGGCTTAAGGGACATACATAAGCCCAAGCTGGCGTGCTTCGGATGCCAGACAGTGCCTGGCTCTCAGCTTCTCTACCCTGGCACTCCCTGGTGCTTGCTTCGAGCCCAAACCTGAGCTCAGGCTGGCAGTAGTGCAGGGTGATGGGCAGCAGCTTGGACTCCGGCAGGGACCCAGAGTTCGGTGTCGTGTCTGAGTCACCAAGTATCCAAGGAAGTTCTCTTGGACATGAAAACAGCTAGTGACTCAGGGAATATTTGTAATAACGTGAAATGCTGGATCTCCTTCTTGGGGGCACATTATACTCTTTGTACTTCATATGCATTGGCTTAAGAAACAGTCCTAAGCCTTAAAATATTCTGAGACTACCAAATGGTTTTCCTCTGGGGAAATCTAATATTTCTTTCTCATTTTCATTGCTCTTTTGAACCTGATCATTTTGTGCTGTAGAACAACCCTTGGGAATAACGCCACAGTGCCCATCCTCTACCACCATCCTGCTCTCCCCTATAAAGCACAGTACAAGATGCAAATGTAAAGCTGAAATGTAATTCCTTTCTTTCTATTTTTTACAAAGCTGATTAAATGGGAACAGCACCTTTGCCTAGGGGAAGCTTTTCTGCTCATTTGTTACTTGAAGTGATAATTTTTCCTTGTCAGGCCTGCACTGCTGTTTCTGAAATGCCTGCCGGGAAATCCTCGTAAGCCATCATTTCTCTCCTCCTCTTACTCCCTTGGGGCACAACATTGCCTGCAAGGGGCTCCCGAGTCAACCGAGGGTGGCTCATCAGAGGCGTTGCCCGTGGCTGGCTACAAGACTGTGGTGAGCAAATTTCCGTCTGCAGACTCCAGTCTGGAAGTCAATAAAAATTAATCCTGGAAAGAGCCTTCCATTATGCATGTAGATACCATCATTAACAGATCTCCTCATAAAAAAAATGAAAATCTCTTCTAATAAAATGAGGACTGTAACTGCTGGCAGGTCCTGAGATATGCTCTGGTGTAAAAGCAAGAGCTGGTTTTAATAAAAATTTCAAATTTTGGAAAGGAAAAAAGCTACCATGAATAACATACAAATCCAGTAAAATCAAGAGTGAAATTATTATTCTCCTTTACAAAAGCTGTAGAAATTCTAATCACCTTTGGCTGCAGAGACCTATGGTAAGGTCTGAAGTTCAAAAAGTAAGGAGGAAACATGGACATCTCTGCTTAGTTTTCAATAATTGAAAAAAAACCCCACTCATTAACGTTTTAATTTTTCTCATTGAAAAATGAAAGACTATATATTTCTCAATTAAATGAAATTAAATGTTAGCTCAGCATTATTTTTACAGTTCTTCTCTGGAAAAAAGACAGATTCTGCCCAGTCCTGCTGCTGATTCACTCCTGCTCCAGCAGCGAGAGCAGCCCCAGGGCTGCTGCTGGGCTCTGTGGCAGAGGTGCCTGATCCTGACCACGCCACAGCCTCCACTCAGGATCTCGCCACCAATGAGGCAAGCCATGGCACCATGGCACAGGCTGCACTTGCTAATTATGGATGTAACGAAGGATGGACATACACAGAATCCACACCACATTTAAGGTGTTCTGGATTTGCAGTGTCAAGATAAAATCAAGACTGATGAACTTACCCTAATGCCATAAGCAATATTTTGAAACAGGCTGCACCTGACGCATCCTTTATGTGATGTGTCCAGGTGATCTGGATGCCAAAACCAATGCTGAACAACACGTGGGTGAAAGTCAGCCAATATTAGCATGGCTGTATTAATATTATTAATAAAATGAAAGATTCAGATGACAACACATTTTAATTATTTCCCTTCTTCCTCAATTCAGCATTCCAAAACTAAAAAATAGGTTTAATATCTTTTTTTAAATGATCTTTTCTAGTGTCTTTTCTAAATCTAACACATTTCCCCTAGATTATATTTGGAGAATTTCCATGGTGCTGGTTGGAACTGGGTCAGACCTATACAGGATCAGGCTGCTTCTGAAATTCTCCATGTTACTGTTTTAGAAATCTTATGAAACACCTTATGTGGCTGTCCTCTCTTGGCAGTGAATATTCATAGTTAACTGCAACATTTGGTACTCAGGAAATATCCTTTTCTCTTTTATTTTGGGTAAATATTTGAATATTTTGTCTACCCTCAAAAGCAGCAAAACAAATCCCATGGGATCTCCCCTCTGAAAGGAGATGTTTTGATGCATGCAGGAGGAAGAGAATAATAATAATCACTGGTATGCTCAAGTGCAATATTTTTCTGTGCTCTCCAAGCGAAGAGCATTTCGAGGTCTAATGACCCAGACCCCAGCAGGTTCTCACTCAGCTGACGGCCGTGCAGAATGGGACGGACCCTCGCTGCGGTGCACTTGCAGAGAGGCAGCACGGTCCAGGGTGGTCTCTGGGCTCTGGTCCCAGGGACCGCAGGGCAGCTGAATGAGGCGGCACCCTCGCTTCTGGTCACAAAGGGGTTGAACAGGCTCCATCAGATATGACGGCTTTCCCACAGCTTTCACTTTCCAGGTAGACTCGCCCATGTCAGGGATGGATAATTGCTGTGATGTTTCGTTCCCCAGGCACTCTCGGGTATTGTTGTTTTTTGTGTCACTGTTGTTTAGTTGTCATCACAAGTCAGACCTGATGATTCAGGAAGTAACATTTTTGATGTAGTTTTGAAACATGCTTCTGTTAACCAAAGCATCTTTCTGTTGTGGGATTTCTGGAGACAAACGCCTTTGGGGAAATATTTCCAGCTGGAAAAAAAAAATAGTACTAGCCAGGTCACAAGGAGGAAGAATAAACAGCCCTTCTCCAATGTCAACATCCACGAGGAATGGTATAAATAGAGGACTGTGGGGACAGAGGGATCACAATCGGATCCCGCAGCGATCTGTGCAGCTTGCCTTGGGCTCCGAGTTGGATCCTCGCGCTCTCACTATGAGCTGTGCCATCAGGCAGGTCGTTACTACCTGTTCCCAAGGCAGGAACAGCGTGGGCAGCTCTGCAGCTGGTAGTGGAAGAAAGGTCTCCTCCGCCTCCTCGGGAAGACACGCTGCCTATGACTTAGGTGGTGCGGTTGGCAATTTTTCTGGTGGTAGTTTAAGCGAGGGATTACTTGGGAAGCAGCTGAGCACCGGCAGTGCTATCGGTGGGAGCTTTGGAGCTACCCAGAAGGCTTGTTCTACCCTTGGATTCAGCAGTGGAGGCATCTGCACTCGAGGCGTTGGTGGTGGTTTCAGCAGGGCTAGTGCTGGTTGCAGTGATGGGATCTTACTCGCTAACAACGAAAAGGCGACGATGCAGAACCTCAACGACCGCTTGGCCTCCTACCTGGACAAGGTGCGACTCCTGGAGGGAGACAATGCCGACCTTGAGTGCAAGATCAGGGAGTGGTATGCCAAGGTAGGGCCCAGCTGTGAACCACGGGACTACAGCTGTTTTCATAAGGAAATTGAAGACCTTCAAAACCAGGTAAATCATTGCTTTTCAAGAAAATTCTAATATTTCTTTGGGCTTTGCTTTCACATGTGGATAGACCAATGTGAAATGGCAGAGGCAATAGCTATGTCTCCGGAGGTGCCCATGAAGCAATAGTTTATATGAAATGGATGGTTTGAGGGAAGAAGACACTGCATTTACAGAGAACTGGAGTTTCAGCACAGCCTGCTCCACCAAGCTGGCACACGCATTTCCCCACTGTAATGCCATCTAACTAATTAATAATCCCAATATGTGGAATCATTATAAAATAAGTGGCTTGCATTACCCCAGGTGGACGTTTCCTCCAGGGCCTTGTGTAGCCAGAGGAAGCCACAAGCCCAAATCTCTCTCCTGCACTTTTTTTCCAGATCCTCTGTGCAGCCATGGAGACTAACAAAATCCTTCTGAATATTGATAACAACAGGATGACTGCTGATGACTTCAGAGTGAAGTGAGTATGGTCCTGTGCTAGACTGAGGGGTTCACACTGCCCATGGAAGGGTAGGTGAGCGATGGTGATGGGGAAATCCTAACACTCCACTTGTCATGCTGCCGCAGTAAAATGCAGATCTCTGTGAAAGGCATGAATACCATTGACAATGTTCATAGCATTGCATGCCTGAAGCGAAAGAAGAACTTGGTCCTAAATTTTTTCCCCACAAACTCAACTCAAGGGCTTGCCATGGTTTACGGACACGCTGACCTTTCTTTGTTGCCTGTGGCTTAAGGTACGAGACTGAATGTGGTCTCCGGCAAAATGTGGATGCAGACATTTGCAACTTACGCCCCGTCCTGGATCAGCTGGCCAGCTGCAAGACCGACCTGCAGCTACAGTGTGAGGCTTTGACTGAAGAGATGTGTTGTCTCAAGACGAACCACGAGGAGGTTAGATTGCCCCTCACTCTTAGAGAAATAAGAAGAAAGAAGAAAGAAAGTCCCCCTGAGTGTGAATATTACTGATATGATGCACATATTCTCTGCAGGAAACAAACTGTCTGAGGAAACAGGCGACTGGAGATGTGAGCGTGGAGGTCAATGCCTGTCCTGGCCCAGACCTGAGGAAGATCCTGGAGGATCTGAGGTGCCAGTATGAAACACTGATGGAGCGCAACCGCAAAGAGACTGAGCAGTGGTATGCCTGCAAGGTACTATATACATGCAGAGTTGTACCCTACTCTGCCTGTTGGGGGAAAAGGGAAAAATGAGAGATTAAGAACACTTACTGGAGATGTCTTAATATCAGCAATTCTGTCATGGATGTGCTCAGCATCTAATTGTACTGCCCACTTTCAGTGCTCTTCTGTTCATGGCAGAGGGGCCACCGCATGGTGTTACGGGGTCACAACGGAATAAATGGGGGGGTCTTTAGATTTGGAAATACTCAGGTGCACTGCAGGGCGTGCACAAGCAGTGTGGTGAAGACCCTGCTGGGAGGAGGTCAGGAAAGGGCTGCTCTTTTCTAACTTTGCAGGTGGAGGAGGTCAATCTGGAGGTCATCACAAGCAGCCAGGAGATAGAGTCAAGCAACAAACAGGTCACTGAGCTGAGACGTCAGCTGCAGGCCTTGGAAATCAATGTACAAGCCCAGCTTACCATGGTAGGTGATGCCACTACGATTCACATCTCAGACTCCCCAGCTCTCTTTAGAAAGCTGCATGACCAGGGTTGTACCTGTAACCAGACAGGCTAAGCTTGCAGCATACCCAGCTACCTTTGTGTTGTTTCCATTCTCAGAAAGAAAACCTGGAATCCTCTCTGGCGGAAACCGAGTGTCGCTACAACAAATACCTGGCTGAGCTACAGAGCCAGATCTCCTGCGTGGAGCAGCGGCTGGCTGAAATACGAGCAGAAATGGAGTGCCAGAACCAGGAATACAAGACCCTCCTGGACGTCAAATGCCGCTTGGAGCAGGAGATTCAGACCTACCACTGCCTGCTGGAGGGGGGACAGCACGACATCACGTACGCAGACTACAGACAGACCCGGGCACAGTAAAATCTCTATGCTTTGACTTACAGGGATATGAAAATTCGTGATACAAATGGTAAAAGCAGCACTGTGGTGAGGAACCAGTACTGACCTGTCACCAGACAGGGCCTATTAGCAAACCACAAGGCATTTGAGGATTTGGCTCTGATAAATGTCTAGAGTGCAAACCAGAGACCGTTCCCCCGGCTTGGGCCGGTGAAGGCAGCCAAGAGAGGCCCCCAGAGGTGTCCCAGCCACCTGGGCAAGGTGCAGCGTCGCAGCTCATTAAAGGGTGGTTTTCACTGTGAGCCGGGCAAGGTCTTTTATGAACGCTGTCATTTAACTGAGTTTTATTGGCTTTGCCACAGCTAGACAGGATTAGGGACTGGCAGTTAAATTAACTGAAACAATAAATTACCTAAACATTTTCAGTTTCACACAACAATTTTAATTAAAGTTTTTGGAAATATAATTTGTATGCAAAGCAGTTGGCTCTTCCCTGCCTCCCATTGCCTGAGATTTTGAAACAGGGAGGCATGCTGTTAATCTCATAAATGGCTGCATACACACATAACCGGCCTGAGCACCCACCTGCTCCATTAGTTTGGAAAAAGAGGTATTTTAATGGTGATGCCCTGAGGTGGGCTCTCCTGGACTCTCCAGTCCTAAATTAGTCACATGAAAAATCAGTTCTTGTTCCAAAATGCCAGCTGCAATGGATGAAATGACACTGTTAGAGCTTGTCTCAGAGCCTCTGGTAATCCTGAGCGAGTCAAGATGGAAAAGCAATAGCTGTCAACAGACAGGCAGGATGGAGGATGTGCTAGTTGTTGCTCTTAATGACCCTCATGGTTCAAAGGGGAAATGGCCAATGCTACGAGTAGCTCCAGATCACGGGGCAGATCTCCAGGGCGTGAATGTCGGGGGCTTTGGTTACCAGAGCTGTCTCCTTTCCACAGAGGGCTGGTGGGAAGAGGAGTCCCTGCAGCATCAGCTGGAAGAAGTGGTGGGCTTAAAGCCAGTCTGTGTCAGCCATGCCTGCCCTAAGCCTGTGCGCTCTGGGTGAGGATGTGTAAGGTGAGGTGTCCTCTAGAACTGTGACTGTGACCATGAGTTGCTTCTTTAGTCCTGCTATGTACCTGGGGAAGAGGAGGATGAGAGATCTCCAGGCTTTTCTCGGTGGTGAAGAGGGGCTGGAGACAGTTTCTTTTTCCTGGAGAGAGGCAGTGCAGGGAGTCAGACATGCAGGACTGCGGTTGTGACTGTTGGTGGTAGAGCATGGGGATTAATCGAGCTACGGTAGAAAGCAGTGGCAAGGGATGCAGCTATGGGGCATTTATAAACTTATGCATAGAAAATATGTTTGACACTGGGGGGTTACTAGTAGTAAATGTGTTTAAATAATTTGTCTCAGCACAACACGAAAATGAGGAACTGGCAAGGGGAATCAGTCAGTCACGAGTCTTTCAACAAGTATATAAAATAAAGCAAGCTAGGGAGAAGAGGGAAAAGAAAGGTCAGTACAAGAGCAAGGGGGATGTAAGAGAAAGGCATGGTATGCAGACAAAACCCCTGACAAAGTTATGCTTCCTGCTCTCCCTCGGCAGGTCACTGCAGACAGGAGAGCTTCCCTGCCAGCCCCACTGCGCATCCCCCTGAGGAGGTCTCTTGACGAACAAACCGTTTGGAAAAAGCAAAGCAAAAATAGCCTGACAGTTCTCAGTTCTGCTTATAGCACCGGTCGGAAGGGACTTTGCAGAATGGCTGCCTTCCTGCCACCCACGCTGCCTGCTGTCTTCATCCTCTGATACTGCTTTGATCCAATCACTGGTCTTCGCTTGGGCTAGTCTGTTTTGCGGTCAGTTGTCTAACAACTACCAAAGCTTGTCTCTAATAAAACTTTGCTACTACTGACACAGCCTTGAACCTGAGAAATAATTTCTACAAGTAAATTAGCATACAAGTATTTAAAAAATTGTTACGCAGATAGTTATATTTACCATACACGTTTGGTTAGAAATCCACCTTTGACCTATATCCACAAAGCAATCATTACAAGGGAAAAAGAAAAATAAGCAATGTTCCCATCTTTGAATGGCTGCAGGATGGTGATGGAGGGGCAGCTGCAGGAGGATGGAGGAAAGGGACCAGCTGATGCTGTGGAAAGGGACATTTGCTACCAGAGGAGGAAGCATAAGCTAAGACATGAGGTAGAAGATGATGAGGAAAGAAACATTCAGGGAGGCTGGACAGAGTGCAGGAAAGGAGTTTCAAGGCAGTCTGACTGGCAATCTTCTATTGAAAGAGACTTCTGAGCAAAAATTGAGTTTTCATTAAAGTAGGTGTGTGCTAATATAATATAATATAATATAATGTAATACACAACACCTTTGAGTTATTATGAATATGCAGTAACAGGATAAAATCAAGAACAACAAGTTTTCCCAAATAATACTGAAGCAGTAATTTTGAAAGCAAGGCTCTGCTGGACTTGACACACCCTTCTGGTGGAGGAAAACAATTCCAGAGAAAATGCTAAATAAAGAACCTCTAAATGGATTTAAAAAAAACAGGCAAACAGGAAGAACCAGCTGGCAACATGTGGGAAGATAAAAGGGTGAGACAAATTAATATGTGGGAGAGAATTTTTTTAAAAGTAAGATACAATAAACAGCCAGAAAAAAAAAGATGCTGGTATTTTATTACCACAGAGAAAGGAATTACAAACACATTCAGGAACACAACTGCATTTTGCTGCTTGTGCAAGCAGACTCGAGATCCAGCCTGTCCCTTCTCACCCGTAGCAGTACCTAACAAATGTGTCAGACAGGCTGTGAATGGTGCTTACAAAGTTTGCTCCTCATTATGTAGCTCTTTTTCTTTTTCTGTAATGAAATATTAGATGGGGTTCGATGACTAACCTTATACAGAGGTCTAACGTGAAGGCTTCCAACACGAAGACATCAGGGGATATGATGAGTCTTAATTAGTGTCCCTTTCTAAGGAAAAAAACAGCTCAGATGTTTCTGGAATGACAGCATGGGACAAGCCAAAGCTTGACCACAGACAGCTATTCTCTTGGCAAAAGTCACAGCCAAGATGGGACTTTTTGTAGCCAGTTTTGTTTCTTGCTCTGAGCCTTTGCTCTGCAGAAAGCCTTGTCTGCTCATGTGTCACCTCTCGTGCTCTAAGCTTTCAACTCTGAGTCGCACATAATGTCTTTATGGAGATGACTGCACCAGCACAGAGGGCCAGGGGCTAAGCAATCCCCGGACCGGCTCCAGCTGTCCCTTTGGGGGATGGCCTCTCCCCAGTCTCTGTCCAAGTAAGAGACGGTTGTTAGCCCTGTGGGGGTAATTGCTCTAACGAGTTTCTGGACACAGCTATGTGTTAAATACCTTCTCTACTAAGTTCTGTATCTCCTACTCCTGCAACGCTAATTATACTGTGCATTTCAGTATTATTTAACCTGCCTCGGTGTTTACACAGCACCTCTAAAGTACCGCATTAAATGCAATGCAGAAATAAAAAGATGCCTCCCCTGCCCAATGAGTTTATAACATGGACAGTGATGGGAAATGATGACTGTGGAAACAGCATAGGAAGAGATGGGGAAGAGAAGATAAATGAAATGCAGAGGACGTGGTGCATGGGACAACAGGACAAGAAGTGACCTGGGACATTGACTGCAGCCTCCTGCAGGCAAACTTCTATCATATTCCGCATACACAGCCACTCACACTAGCACGTAGGTACGGCAGCTTGTAAGAGCGCGTTCTTTTATTTTCCAATGTGCAAATCTTGTAAAGCAAGAATGAATGAGTATCTCAAAGACAGAGAGAGACTTAGGCTGAAGCTATAAGACTGGGAGAGGAATCTGAGGATAAAAAGAGCAATGGTGGCTGCCCCAGAGAGAAGAGGCGGAGTTATATCAGCACTCAGGCTGGTAAGCAGAAGTTATCAGCATCACGACCAGTGGCTGTAGATGAAATGTACTGTGATTGCTCTAGCAGATATGGTCTCTGTCTTACAGGGAGAGCAGACACATGCCAATTACACGACCATCAGAAAAAATCCCTGGGGAGTGAACATGCCAGAGGTTTAAGACATCAGTGAAGAAACAGAAATAAAACTACTAGTTTTGCAAATTGCCAACACTGCAAATCAGCCAGGAGTTAAGGACTGCACTGTACAAGGACTTATACCTGATTACAGGCACCATGCTTTTTTAATAGTAGGCTGTATTCTGGTGTGGTGTATAAACTATAATTTCTCTATAAAATCTATTCTATAAAATGCGCAGACAGGTACAGTCTCACTCACACCCACAGTAACTAGCTGTGGGGTTTGTATTTTTGTTTACTGGCTTGTGTAACATCTGTAAAGAAATACATAGATGAGTAAACTACTACTATAATCAAGCAGGAGATTTCTCAGCTCAGTACACTGAATAATATAATTTAAACTGCCAGTATGAACCACATATTGAAAGTGTATTGAAATTAAGAGACTTTTTAGTACAAGTATGAAACAAAGATAAAAAGAAGACACTCTGGGGAGGCTCTGGCTGGCCTACACCTTTGGCTGCCTGTCTCTATTGTACCACTGTATGGTATCTGAGCGCAAGAAGCACCTGAATACTGAATACTCCAGTTCTGCGTGTCAGGTTCTGGTTTGACCCACGCGGCTCTGCCAGCAGGGACTGTAGGCTAAAGCCTTGCTCTTCCTTCCGACCTGCACGGCACTCAGCTGTCCATGCAAGAGTGAAATTGCTGTAGTTTTGTTCACTCATCAGTGTTCCAGTCTGTCCTAATACAAATTCTCTTGTACTCTTCTTTGCCATGATAATCAGTAGGGCTTCCAGAGATGCAAATGCTGGGACGTCTGGCTGCACTGTCATTGTCTGGTAGGTGCTGGAAGGAAATTAAAAACCTTCACAAAATGAAGAAG